TCTTTGTGTCTTGGGGCACGTTCTCTGTGAGCCATTCCCGATGCCTGGTGTACCCCAGGACACGGTTGGCCCCCCTGGCTGCCAGAGCACTGCTGACTCATGTTTAACTTGTCATTTTTAAATTGAAAGCTAAATGGAATCCTTGTTGCACTTAAGAAAATATCATGTCTGCATATTGAAACTATTAAGTTAAACTGCTTACTTTGAAGCTGTTTGCAAAGATATAATTTTCCTTTTATGTTACAGACTTTCAGATTTCAGCAAGTTCTGTATTAAGACAGATACAATCTACTTTTGTTTTCTTCTGTTTTTTTAGCAATACAGACCATTTTCAACAGACAAGTCAATTGAAAACACCATTAGTCTGAAATAAAAAGAAATTAAACAGTCTAAGTAGTGATTAATGTGAAACATTATCTTCATTTTTGCAGTGGCTGCTTTCAGGTGCTCTTATGACACCAGTAGCATGCTATACTGGAATAATTTATTGAGAGTGTTTATTTGTAAGATAGTGACATAGCATGTCATGCCAATAAAAGCTTGAGGAATGCTCCACAAATAAGGGAGTCACCACCTAAGGGAGTTTAGAGCTGTTACCCACCAAGCACCCTGAACTATTGCACCAAGCACCCAACAAAGCTTCTTTGATTAAGATTAGTCTAATACTCTCCAAGATCTCTAAGCCTGTACCTAAACAGAAACTGCTTAAACTAGGAAATGCCAGACATATGTACAGACACATCCTAACTTGGCAATCCAGGCTGATTCTGTTGGCTAGGGCTGCTAGGGGAATACATCTACTATACTACTTCCACTAATCACATAGCTCAGCAAAGAGCTGCTGAGGAGGGACCCAGAGTGAGGGAAGAGTAGATAAATATACTAACTTCCTTTGGAGACTTGGGTATTATTGTCTTATTTGTCAGCATGATTTCATGTGGTGTTTACAAGAGATGGGATAGTTGAACTGACAGCTGTAGAAGCAGTGCTGCACAAGAGAGCAAATGTGCCTTGTCATAGAGATTTTCACAGGTGTGGCAGTACTACACACTAGTACAGTGGGCACGCTACCACTACGAGGTAACACTGCTTGAAGGTAGTAACTTTGAGTGTATAAACCAAGTTAGCCTTTGTTCTGTCAGCCTGCCTAAAACACAGTCCTTGCCTGTATAAGGACATCAGCTGATAGCTTCCTTTACAGTCCTGCTGCTCTCAATTATCTGTACGAGAAAATACTGTTGGTTTGGCTGTAGACTGAGAAAATACTTTTCTGTTTGGGATGTACTGGAATCATCACTGATGAAATTGTTAAGGTTCCATTCACCAAGAAAATGGCCATTCGTGCTTTCAGGTCTGATGTCTTCTTACAGTTCCTACAACAGACTGCTCTGTAACAGCACACAATTACAGCAGCTTGAAGAGGAATCCAGCCTCATTCAACTGCAGGAAGCTGAACAGAAGACTTGTACACTTGGCCACATTCCATGATATTTTATTTAAATATTCCTATCAAGTAAGAGTTTTTGAATTTCAATTTCTAGCCTTAGCTATAACTCAAATTGGGAACTCCTCCAGGATACTGCCCAAGGCTGAGAATCTTAAACTGATGTGTAAAACACCTTCGTAAGTGGTTAGTTTAATGAAGAATCCATCTAATTTTATAAGAATGGAGTTCTTAAATAGTGTATTACGGAGGACCATACATGAAACATTAAGGATAACAATAGCATAATAAAAAATATTATCAGTACAAAGAATTCATTAGTTTGACTACATATAATTGTTCAAATATGGAAGACAGCTGCAACACTATCAATAAAACCTACCAAGCTCTCATTCTTAATATGGTAATTGATCTCATGAATATTCATGAACTCTAACTCGTAGTGATTCCACAGTTCATTTGTTAGCTATGTGATTTGCAACATTGCCATAAAAATCCAGACTAGTAGAAAACTTCAAAGAAAACTAACAGACTGTGAAAATTTCCCTTCTTTCCAGATTGTCTCTTACACCCTATGCAGCAGTAAAGTACTATACTGAAGACCTTGCTCAGATTTAAACTCATGTCCTTTTGAACAGGGAAAGCAACAGGCCACAAGAGAAGTTTATCCATTAGAGCTCTATGCCATTTGTATACATACCTTTTTCCTTGCTTCATCACAGTTTAGAGAACTGGATTTAAAATTTTTGCTTAAAGAGATGGCACTTTCAATTATCCATAACTTATCTACTACAAACATAAACTAAAGATGAAAGAGTAAAATTACTGAACATTCCAAGTAATGCACCTATAACTTTGCATAATGATTGTTTAATCATGGCAATAATTCTTGATTACTTTCTTAATAGTTTAATGTAAAGTGCTGGATTAATGTTTAATATAGGAAAAAACCCCTTCTAATAAAAATTAAAATTTACAACTAGATAATAAGTGATTTCTACTGTATAATTTGAAAATATTTCTATGCCCAGAAGTTATTAATTGGTGAAATAAGCCATCGTAGTTTGTTACCAGAGTCTTTAACAATGTTTGTTTTAATAATAAATTGTGGGATATGCACACAACATAAAATCACTGAAACCTTTGCTGAATTTATAAGACTGTAATGGATTTCCCTGACAAAATTTGCATAAGTGCAATATATGCCATTCCAAAACCAATTTAAATACAGAAAATAACTCACTGGTTGGAACTCATATTTGCCATGAAAAATCCATCACAAAAGATGTATCAAATTCCCTTGAGACACTTTCTCAAGGAAAGAAAAAGTACATCAGCTAGATGCTCACAAATTATTGGACTTGAATCCACCAATTCACCTCATCTATCATATTTCTGTAGGGCTCCAGTCCTGCTGCATTATGTGCAGCATAGAGCATTTTCCTAGAGTGAGCAAAGTCTACACAGGGGAACATATAAATACAGTTTGCATTAGGCATAATAAACCCAGCCTACATTTTCCGCAGCAGTGAGTTTCAAATAATTTCTCTGGCTTCATGAAAGCTGAAAAAAAAATTAATTTGTTGCAAACTTCAAATTTTTTATTTTAAACTGATTAAAAGTCAAGCCACCTTTTAATGAATATGAGTGCACACATCTCTTAACAATTGATAGGGTGGCTGAATGGATGGTGATTAGAAGGTTGCTATCTTGAAAAGCATTATTAGTTGCCCTATACTAGGTCTTTATAGGTTAAGCAAATGGCATTCCAAGCATCCCAAGATTTGAAGGAAAAAGTATTTCCAGCATGCTCCACAGATAAACACAGTGCTGGAAATTCATTACTTAGTCACAAAGCAAGATTAAAGGATATTTTTAATCTAAGTGAGAAGGAATAACAGGCCCACGAAGGAAATCTTGCAGGAAATAAGAGCATATTTCTAAAACAAAGTGGATGTTACAAGAACAAAACAGGGAGACAGTTTAATGGGTTTCTGTTGTTGACGGTAGTGGAAAAAATATGTAATCTCTGTAAAATAATCAAAATATATAGTAGAAGAGTAGCTTGACATGAATTGACTCAGATCTAAGTCATACACTCTGGTCTCTGATTAAAGAAGGCAATTATCATGCTGTTTTCTGACCTTGGAATCTATTACTCACTTGTGTTATATCAATATGCATTTGAATACAAGCAAGTTGGCATAGCCCTACATACTGGCTAAGCATCTGAATCAATGAAAAAGTATAAGTGGAATCATAGAACCATAGAACAGTTTGAGCTTGAAGGAACCTTAAAGATCATCTAGTTCTAACTGCCCCATTGTGAGCACTAGATCAAGTGAAACACTCAACGCCTTCAGAATATCAAACATATGGATTTCTACTCATGTTCTGAATTCCCACTAAAGCACCAGTATGGAAGTCCTCAAGATAGTCTCTCAGTAAACAGAGCTGGAAATCATCCCAGATTAAGTACATAGGCTTTTAGTGTTACAGAAAGTGTCTTTTTGCTAGTCAGTAAAATCTATCTCCATGAATGATTCCATACAAATAAACAAGTTCATATTTTGGGCTTGTTTTCAAATGCTGGACAACCATTATGTAAGTAAGCATGGGACTTGAATGAGTATTTTCAGCAATAGAATACATTTGGCAATGTCATATGAAAACATAAGTTTTCTTTTCCAAGACAAAATAAAACATTGCTATTAACTGTCAGAATTCCTGACAAAGGAAAGTTAGCTGAGTATTTTAGACAGTAAAGAAACACTTTAAAGGAATTACCCCAGTGGATACATGTGAGAGAGAGAAATACATTTCATAGCTAATGTTGCTAATTTTAGCTGTTACTGAACTTGTAGTTTTGTTTTGACTTTCATAGCACTAAATTTAGTTTCCATTTTATTATGTCATAGCTCAGCAGTGGAAAAATCTTCTGCAGATATTCATTCTCAAGCTCTAGTTTTGGTGACCACAAATACATGTGAGTCATCAGTAAAAACCATCATGACCTCTTTCTTCCAGGTGATTTAAGACTCTTTGAATAGCGTATGATCTATATTCTCCACATTTATTGTATCCTTCTAGTAGAGTTGTTAGGCCTAATCTTCCAATCCAAACCCCATGTTTACTTTTCTATAAGTTATCATAGCTATCTCCTAATTCTTTACTTATTACTGTTTCTATCAGTCTACCTTACAGAAAATTAGATTAGCCACCTTAAAGAGTTTATTTTAGTGACTCATGTAGTATTTGTGGTGTCTTGCTATTCCTCTGGCATTGGTAACGTTTTCAATAAGAGATTATACAATAGAGCAAACAGCAATTTCTAGCTCTTTCAGAACAACTTTTAAAATTTCTTTTCTTAACATATGTAAAATTTGAGGAGAATATAATTGATGTTAGTGACTTCACCCAGCACAACACTTACAGGGCCTTGTGTTCTTAGGGTGGATAAGCCTTCTGTTGTGAGCTTTTGCTACAAAAAGCGGAGATGGACATGCACATGTGCTGTCTACATGACTACCCACTCATACAATAAACATTGTGCAGATAAGCGAATATGCTTGCTTCATTTGAAGTCTCTCAATCTGTTGTAGTCCATACCATCTTAGCGAACAGTTTAAAGAGGCAACAAAAACAGAAGTACTGTTTGCAATTACACTGATGCTCTCTGATGTGTCAAAACCATATTGCCTCTAAGTGCAACTCCATTTCACTTCCTCAGAAATCTGTAAAGAAATAAATGTACCTCATTAAAGTCTGAAAAAAACCCATAAAAACAGCACAATGGACATTTACTGGAAGACAATAAATGCACATTTACAGAAAAACAAGTGATGCAGTCAGCAAAATATCTTCATCCTGACATTATGACAAAAATGTTGGAAATAAAAGTGACCATATTTATATCCCCAAGAGGGGCAAGTCTGGTGTGTAAACAAGTTTCTGAAATTGAGCCAGGAGAATTCCTGTCAGTTCTGTATCTCTAATGATAATAAGCTAATGTTCTTTGCATTTCTGCAGACTTTTCAATTTTAAGATTTAAAAGCAATTACCTGATCTTGATAATGCTTTTATGAGACAAACACACATTATTCCTTTATTAGCAAGGGAGATGGAGGCACACAGTTTTTCATTTGCCATGTAATGAGCTGCTAACCAGAACCACCAGTGAATCACTCACACATTCTCTCTCTCTGTTGCTAATATTATATAAACTGACCCTAATGTAATGTGTGATGATAAATGCCTACCTGGAACACTGCTGTGATGGTCCTACAAGACTAGAGAGAAGGCGGGGGGGGAAAGGTAGAAACAAAAAGAGAAATTGAAGAAAATTACCATTATTTTACTAGTTCGGCTTCACTTACAGGTCAAACAAAAGAAAAAAAAATATACATACAACCTTAAGCTAGAAAAAGAGACAATTTTAGCTGGAGAGAGAAGATCAGGTCATTATCTCATCCCTCAGCTAAAGAATTAATGATGGCTCTAAAGCCGCTCCCTCTCATGCCCAGGGCAGCCCACTCGCTGGGGCCCAGGCCGTGCCTCCCAGGGCCTCCCGCTGCGTCCTGCTGGGGCACAGCCCGGACACCTCGAACTCGGGGATCCGCGCCTGCCGAGCAAAATCTGCCCCCGCCGAGCCCCAGGGGCGGCCCCGGCTCCGGGCAGCGGCCGCGGGCGGGCCTGCCCGCTAGGTGGCGCCATCGCCGGCCCCGGCCCCGGCCCTTCGCTACCCTGCCCTCCTCTACTGTGCACCCCCTTCTCTACCCTGCTCTTTTCTGCCCTCTCTTCCGCTCGCCTGCCCTCCGCTCCGCTGCCCTCCCCTCCTCTGCCCTGACTGAAATGAACAGGGTCTATGCCTTTATTAATAGTCAGCTCTTTATTAAAAAGTCAGCTCGGCAGGGGGCTCAATGAGGAGCTCACCCCCGCTGTTGTAGCTTCTCCCGTAGCCGAAGGGTGAGCAGGCATGCAGAGTCTGTCCCTGGAGTCCCCGTGGCACGCTGGTAGCTGGAGGTGAAGAGGTGTGCAGTCCTTATCTGAAGTCCCAGCAGACCGTCCTGTCTCCTTTCCTCATGGCACTCTGGTAGCCAAAGGGTGAGGGGATGTGCAGAGCCTGCTGCCGAAGTCCAGCAGCAGGTGTCCCTCTCCTTCTCTCCTGGTAACACCAGGAAGTGTGTGGCTGCCTTGCTCCTGCTTCCCACAGCCCAGTCCACTCTGGTCCTCTGTAGGTTATGGTGACAGGTCAAACACAGACTAGGGATGGGGTTCCCTTTTCCCCAACCAGCACACCCATCCAGCCCCCTCCACTGTGCCCATCTTTTCCATTTAGGGGTGTTTTTCATCCCCAAAACCCCCTCCCATGATTCCACTGGATTATTTTGCATCCCAGTCCTAGAATGGTAGTGAGGGTGGGGGGAGGTAGGTGATTCCCAGGAACAATTAGCTAATTAACATTTCAATGTCAGTACTTAGCCCAAGCCAAGTGTCCCAGCCAGGCTGTTTTGTTCATAACACTGACCTCGCCTGCCCTGCCCTCCTGTACCTGCCTCACCGCCATTCCCGGCTCCCTGGCAGGCTTCGAGCCCCGCACAGCCCCTCTGGGTGCCTCAGCTCCCATGGGGGCGGCAGGGCAGGCTTTGCAGCGCGTGTGGGGCAGCGGGGCCGCTGCTGGCGGTGTGAGGGGCAGCCCTGCAGCCGGGACGATGCCCCGCGCCGGGGAAGGCTGCGGGACCTGGAGCCCGGGGCTCAATGAAAGGGACCGAAGAGGGCTCAGTGTCCCCTCGCTTTGGGGTGCTGTTCCTTTGTGAGGCTCGGACGCCAGCGTGGCTACCCTGGCGGAGGGAGAGGATGGCCAAGCCACCGAGTCAGCCCAGGGCAGGGCTGGAAGAGAAACCACACGGTCGGACCCCTGGCACCGCGTGGGGCTGTGAATATCTCCCAGCCTGGAGACCCCACAAGCCTGCAGGGCCAGCCAGTGTCAGACTCGAGGCTCACACCAAACCTGGGTTCTTTCATTGTTCGCAAGATACGCTCTCCAATGTCTCCAATGGCCATTCCTCAGCCCGATAACCAGAGCAATGGCACTCATCTAGAAGTACTCCAGGATGGGGAGGATCCTTCTTCACTTGCTTTGCAGTTACAGGAGGAAGCCCTATCCTCCGTGTGTGGGTCATGGAATATTGGGATGCCAATGCCAACTTTTCATTTGAATGTCAGTGTGGGAAAATATTTCTCCATTTTGCAGCTTCTGTAGAAAGACCTGGAACCTGACTCAGACAAAGTCCAGAATAATGTAAACCATTCAATTTCTGTTTCTATTAAAAAAGAGATCAAGTAATGAAGTTAAACAATTTCTTCTGAATATGTACCAAATTACGAACAGCAAGGGAATATGGAATATGTAGCAAGTTAGGAACAGCTGGGAATTGCAGAAACCCACTAGTGAGCGGGCAAAACTAATATTTAGTTAGGAAAAAAAAAGTCTTGTTTGGTTATGCTTGAGTGCTAAATGAAGATAAACTGTATCATATGTCAAATTTCAAATACTCTTTCTCAACCATAAAATTTGCAAAATATTCTTAAGTGTTTAACGAAAGTGCTAAGATTATTACATGAAGAACTTACATTTAAATATCTTTCTAAATGTATCTTCTAAATTTGTATGTGGTAGATAGAAAGTTTGGGAAATTGAGTGAGTTCTGAGTTCTCTCTCGAGAATCCTACAACCATATGACAAATTAGGTAACGGCAGTCGCCAGTCCACTTTCCTTGATGTAAAAAGAGGTACTAAAAAGCTGTGGTGTAATGCTTTGATCTCCTTCTAACGTTTCAGTTTTGAACTTAATACTAAAATCACAACAGGGAAAGAAAATTAGAGGGAGAAGAGAGGTTCTCGTTAAGAGAATGGTTCAAAGATGTGTCAGAAAAATTTCAGACCAGATATTAGGAAGCATTTCTCTACCAAGAAGGTGGTCAGTCACTGGAAGAAATTTCAAAGAGAGGTGGTCAATGCCCCAAGTCTAACAGTGTTTAAGAGGTATTTGAAAAATGGCCTTAACAACACCTTTTTCAGACCTGAATTGATCAGGCAATTGGATTAGATGGTCGTTGTAGGTACCTTCCAACTGGAATAATCTGCTCTGAAATAGAAAGGAAATAGCCTAGATATTGGTGGTAATCATCACTGCAAGTAACTGGAAGCAGCTGGCTGCTAAAAGATATCCTGGATGTATTTTGAGGGGTAAAAAGCAAGTAACCGGCTTTCCTTTGAAAATGTTTTAAAAAAATAATTGTTGAGACAGAATTTATAAAAATGGCAAGGTTTGGTAGAGTAAAGAGAATAAATTGAGGAAACGGAGAAGAATGTAACAACAGTAAGTTAATTTCATAGAATTTCACAGAATCCTAGAATGGGTCATGGGCAGGTACATCTTCCACAGACTAGGATGCTTGAAGCTGCCTCCAGCCAGGCCTTGAACACTTCCAGGTATGGGAACACTTCCATGACTTTCTGGGCGACCTGTTCCAGAGTCTCAGCATACTCACAGTCAAGGATTTCTTCTAATTTAAACCTGCACTTTTTAAGTTTAAAGTCATTCTCCCTTGTCCTATCACTACATGATCTTGTAAAAAGTCCTTCTCCAGCTCTCTTGTAGTCTCCTGCACCTAAGGTGCTCTAAGTCTCCCTTAGCCTTCTCCAGACTGAACAACCCCATCTCTCTCAGCCTGTCTTCATAGCAGAGGTGTTCCAGCCCCTAATCATCTTGGTGTTCTCTGGACTTTGTTCAGCAGGTCCGTGTCCTTCCTGTGCCAGTGACCCCAGAGCTGGATGAGGCACTCTGGGGTCCCACCAGAGAGGAATATAGGGGGAGAAGCACCTCCCTTGCTCTGCTGCTTGTACTTCTGGTACAGCCCAGGACATGTTTGGGTTTCTGGGTTGCAAGGGCAAATGGCCGGCTCATGTCCAGCTTCTTATCCACCATCCCCAGTCCTTCTCAGTAGGGCTGCTCTCAATCCATTCTCTACCCACCTGTATCTGTGTATTTGTGCAAACAATTTGAAAATTATTTGTTAATACAGTTCCATGAGCCATTTCTGATCACTTATTACCAGTGGAACATGGCATCATTTGAAACCATTAGGAAAATAATGCTGTATAATTTAGGAATGTTTCTTACATTGCATGAGGACAGCGTGAACAGAATGCGAACAGAAATGGGGCTTACAGAAATTAAAAATAAATTCTGTCCAGATATATCTGAACTAAAAATTGAACAATTCTTGGTAAACAGCAATTATCAGCTTAGTATCAAGATCATAGCTACAGAAGGAATTAGATGGCAGAAATATAAACAGAATATAGCCAAAGAAGGTGGAGTGGTTTTATGGCAGTCTTTGCAGAGTAAGAGAGGGAATTTTTAGCAGCAGCACTCTGTATGGGACTGAACAGTACTTTTATGCTCAGTTTTTCTACTCCATGTATCAGTGGTGGAGACAGAAGTGGCAGAGCCCTCATTTCTGATGCTCAGCACAGCTTAACCTTCCCAAAGGTTCACAGGTGCAAACACATCAGTAGCTGCTTGGGGAAACAGTTTGGTGTGCATTAAACACAGAGATTGTATCAAGATTATGAGCAGACACACTTCACTGATTTTTCACCTGTCCTGGCACTAGCTGAAGTGTTTGTGGAGGTACCAAGGCAGATGCTTGCCCTGATAGGTCACTTGTAATTTTGTAGGAGCTTCTGTCTGTGTTCTTCACATTTGCTTAAGAAATGTTAGTCTGCAGCTCAGTCTCCATTTTGAATTAGTATTGAAAATAAAATCAACAGATTTTTTTTTTTTTTTTTTAGTTTGACAGATGCTTTGTTTTCAAAAGTAAAAATTTTCAAGCCAGGGGGAAAAAAACTACAATAAATTGTTTTGATAGCAGTTTTCTGAATAGCCTGGAGCTATTGATGAATATAATCAACTGAAAGCTATTAGTGTGTTTTGTACAAAATTGCATATCAGTTAAGAACTGGATTCTGCAGAGCTCATTTACTGTGAGATAATTGTTTTAGGCTTTGTGTCAGAGAGAGTCTAGAGTTCTCTTTAGTCTCTAGACCAGATCAAATAATTGCATCCTGATGTGCATCCTTCTGTGCTGACCACAGTGATGACCTTGGGTGAGTAGTTTAGCTAGATATGGCTGCACTTTAGATATCTAGATACCTACATTATTTCAGATTAATTCCATCTCCTTCAGGCACCTTAGACAGCCTATGTATGAAAGAGATTATGTTGTCATTGCAAGTGATAATAATTAAAACTGGGGAAAATTGGGTGCCATTTACTTATGAAAATTAGAAGAAAAATCCCACATCACACACATTAGTATGAAACATCAGTGCTTAGGTGTCTTCTCCACTCTGAATCTAATTTAAACAGCAGCATTCACAATAAGCAATTTTGTAGCTATGCCAAGCACTGAAGTGACAGGACAGTGATTTTAAGTACAAAGGTGTTTTTGGAAAGAAAGAGAAACATGAAAACAACCTACTTGAGCAGGAACACTGGGATTTAGGATTAAACATGGAAAGGCATAAGGGCCTTTTTTGTTTTGTGGAGT